ATAAAAAATATAAGGCTAAAACCTTTTATTTTATTTAAAATTTAAAATGTCACACACAAATACAAGTCCTTTGAAGAACACCTAATTTACACAACCACCTTCTAGGAAGGGTTATGTTTGAAGTAGGCCTTTTAGTAGCTAATTACAAATTATTATACTAATATATGTAAGCTCCTATATAGCTTTGTTGTAACTTTTCTATAACATATGTGGGACATTCCTATGGAATTGGCAATGTCGCTTGATGTTCCATGAGTTCGATGCCGTCATCGCTCCCAGTGCAAAGTATCTCATTGTATTCTTCTTCTTCTTCCCTAGTGTTTAATTTTTCAAAACCAAGATTTCTTTTTTCCTAATTAATCTCATCTCTGAATAAGACAGAAATCACTAGGCTATACTCCGCTAATAAATGTCTATGATTTTCGATTTGAAATCTTACCATGCTAAAAGCACTCCCTGAAGTTGCTGATGATGCTTGAATAGCCAGTATATCTCGAGCCATTCTTGAAAATGTTGGAAATGCCTTGCCACATATCCTCCACCATGCTAAAAGCTGCTCATTGTCTTCTTCGCCTTTAGTAGATTCAAATTCCTGATTAAGATAAGCATCAAGTTAATCATCAATAGTGTAATCAAGACCTATTAAATCCTCCATACCTTCCCACACATCTTCTACTCTAGCCTTAGACGTATTAGGAGCATTTACACCATCTGAAGTTGCCATAGTTTTATACTTATCAAACATAATTTTAGCATAAACATATATTATTTTGGCAATCTTTGAGACTTGGCGTTTTATTTTCTTTAATTTTTAAATTCTCCTAAATTTTACGAACAAGTCCCTTTGCACCTCTTAATTTTAAAATGGGTTAAATATAATATAAATTAAACAAACTTGGGGAATAGAAAAAAATACTTTTTAAAAATTTAAAATTATTTCATTAACGACCGGTGCATAGTCTTCATTTGTTTCATACATAGCAAATATAAAAGAAATTCCACAAATATACCATACTATTTGCCCCGAACATACTCCTGCCACCACCTCTTGGCGGAGCCATGCATCTGAAATATCGCGAAGTCAACTCCATTGAACTCCACTATACCCATGTTGTGCAGTACCACGTGACAACAGTCTATGAAATCTTGTGGGTCCTCAGAAGGTGTACCACCAAATATAGGAAATAGCTTGGTGAACTTGTCCAATCTCTTCAAGCCCTCGGACGACATAGTGGGTCCCTCCCTAGGCTGTGTATCCATGAATACTGATATGCTTTAACTGCTCGAGCTGCCGGAGTTTGATACCTGGAGCCATTTGCTCTGGAGTGTGAGTGGCGGGAGTCTGGGCTCCTTCCCTAGCCTAAATAGACGCTGGTACGGGAGTGGTAATAAACCCATTTGGGACCTGAACTGGTCCAACTGGCGCAGTCTGAACATGGATCTCCTCCTCATGCTCGATCTGAGGCTCTGCAATGGGTGTTTCTGCACGTACTCTAGGCTGAGCTCTGCCCCTACCTCGGCCCCTACCCCTGGTAGTGGCTGTAGCTTGGGGCTCCGGCTCTTGATCTGCGGTGGATGCTTTGTGTGTCCTCACCACCTGTTAGAAAACAAGAATAGAATGATTCAAACTCAATGATAGAATAAACTTCACACGATTGAGAAAGAAAGAAATGAAATTTCCTAAAGCCCTATAGCCTCTAGAAGATAAGTACAGACATCTCCATGTCGATCCTCCAGACTCTACTAAGCTTGCTCATGACTTGTAAGACCTAGGCAACCTAGTGCTCTGATACCAACATGTCACGACCTGAAATCCTGCCGGGCCGTGATGGCGCCTAACATTCACTTGCTAGGCAAGCCAACATTAGCTACACATTATTCATTTTAATAATTTATAAAAGCAGATAAATAATATATAAAAATTATAGAACTTCAAAATAGATATAATAAATTCCAATGCGTCGTCTAGTAAACTCTCGAAATCTGGTGTCACAATTACATGAGCTACTAGAACAAAATACTACAACCAAGGTCTAAATAAAATACAACTGTTAGAATGAAATAACATTGCAAGAAATAAGAAGGGGACTTCAGGGTCTGCGAACGTCGTGCATCTCTAACTCAAGTCTCTATGAAAAGATGATCCGAGCGAGCCTCCACTAACTGCTGTTGGGACCAAGACCAAAATCTGCACAAAAAGTACAGAAGTGTAGTATGAGTACAACCGACCCCATGTACTCTGTAAGTGCCGAGCCTAACCTCGACAAAGTAGTGACGAGGCTATAACAGGGTACTCACTATAAACATGTACGAGTATAATGAAATAACAGCAAAACAGAGAAAACAAGTGTAACATGAAAACTAGAATAGAAAATACATAACAGAGGACCCCAGAATAACATCAAAGCTCAACTTTCTCAATACAACACGGATAAGGAACCAATAGTTACAGACAATCAATATATCTTTTCTGTTGCGGCGCACAACCCGATCCATAAATATATATAAATAACATGTCTTCTCCATTACGGCGCGCAACCTGATATATATACACACACACACACACAAACACATACATATATACGTATAAATATTGTTGCAGCGTGCAACCTGATCCAAAACAATAATACCAATATCCGTTGCAGCGTGAAACCACACAATAATACCAATATTCATTGCAGTATGCAACCCGATCCTACACAATAATACCCATATTCGTTGCGACATGCAACTCGATCCCAAATAAAGACACGGATACATGAAAACAATTAGCAAATTAAGGCATGTAACGGATAAAGGCATGAATTTAACAAGGGAAAGTAACAATTAAAGCATTTATCAAGTAATAACATGAATTAAATCAAGGCATGAAATAATTGAAGACAACAAATAAATATCCCAACTCGCATGCTTAACCCATGACTATGTATATACACTCGTTATCTTGCATATATGCTATCCCCCACACATAAACCAAGTAGCAACTAGACCAATTAAGTCCTAATTCCCGCAAGTCAAGGCTAACCACGATACTTACCTCTTCCTGCAACAAAATCAATGATCAACCACAATTTTTCCTTTAGAACACACCTCCAAACCAATCAAATCTAGTCAAATATAGTTTAAACAATTCAAAATAACCTTTAGAAACTACCCACAAATGAAAAATATTCTATATTTAATGAAATTTAAAAATAAAAAAAAAGTCAACCTCGGGCTCGCTTGGTTAAAATCCGAGAATCAGACACAAAATTTGACCACCCATTCACCCCCGAGTCCGATTATGTAATTTGTTTCAAAATCCGACCTCAATTTGAAGTCTAAATCTTAAATTCTCTCAATTCCTAAATTCTATTCTACCCAAAACCCCTAATTTATACTTTGAAATCACTAATTTAAAGTTAGAAAATCAATGGGTGATTATGAAAATACATCAAAATTAGTTAAAAAGTACTAACCAATGAAGTAGGGATGAAAATCTCTTCAAAATACTCTCTAGTCCGAGCTCTAGGTTTCGAAAATGGTGTAGAATGATAAAATTCCGACATAGAAATTTTATTTAACTAGCTGTCAGGTGTTCTTTGCGTTCGCGAAGCACCGACCACGATCGCGAAGCACACATGCCAGTTGGCGTTCGCGTTCTCGAGGTCCCAATCGCATTCGCGAAGCCATCCCTAGCCAAGCCTTTATGTTCGCGACTTGCTGGTCGCGTTCGCAATGAAGAACTCTCCAGCCTTCCCCCTAGCCAACCCAAAGCTATACGTTCACGAGGGGTCTATCGTGTTTGCGAAGGGCAGTCCTCAAATCATCACGTCCGCGACCTACGTCTCGCATTCGCAAAGAGTAACCCCATCCCAGCCCCAAATTTCCCATTCGCGATCACGAAGCTCTAAGCACCAGCAGAAAACTAGCAATATCACATGTCCAAAAATGGTCCGAAAACAATTCGAAACTCGCCGAAGCCCCTCGAGTTCCAAACCGAACATGCACTCATAGCATCATATAAACTTGCCCACTATCTCAAACATCAAAATAACATGAAATAACAAGAATTGATTATCAAAACTCAAGATTTCAATTTGGAAACTCATTTTTCACAATCTTTCACACAATATGCTGAAACGCGCTTGCGTCACCCCAAACCTAAACCAAACATGCGTACAAGTCTAAAAATATCATACGAACCTATCGGAATCGTCAAAACACTCATCTCCGAGGTAGTTTACCAAGAGCGTTGACCGTGGTCAACTCAAGTTGTTTTAAAGCCAAAAAGCATATTTCCTTTAAAATTTCACGTAAAATTTTTTCCGAAAAATAACATGGGCAGGCATGCAAGTCATATAACATCAACTGAAGCTATAAGAGGTATCAGAACACGAAAATAAGGGATAGTACTCAAAATGACCTATCGGATCGTTAAACGTGTCTTAGCCTTGTCACTACCTCGTCGAGGTTAGGCTCAACGCTTACTGGGTACATTGGGTCGGTTATACTCATACTATTCTTCTACACTTCTTGTACAGATTTTGACATTGGTACCAACGGAGATCCGAGAGGCACTTAGCGGATACCAGTCAGTTATTCGAGGTAGAGCTGCACCCCGTTTGCAGATACTAGAGTCACTTTCCTATCTCTATTGTACTGTTCGATTTTATTTCGGACAGTGTTGTATATCTTTTGGAACCTTGTATTTAGCTGGATCTAAACGCTCATGTAGTTGTGTCACCAGATCTTGGGGCGGTTTATTTTATACTATTGACCAGTTATCAGTTATTTAGTGCTTTTCTTTATTTTGTATTACCTGTTGTGTTGGCTTGTCTGTCATTCGGTATTAGGTACCATTACGGCCCCGTAATTGGACTTTCGGATCGTGACATACTGATAGTGTAAAATACCTTATACTTTCATTACTTATAAAAATCTAATCCTAGGGAGACAACTAGTAAGATACTTAAACTTTAAAGGCCCCAAATGGCTCCAACTTAAGTTATACTCCGTAAAAGTAATTTTCGGTCTAACCTAACCAATTTCTTTTGCAAAAATGCAAATAATCACATGACTTTTAAGTGCACCTTTCTTGCTTGTGATCTGTTTCTTTCAGCTCAAATCAGGTCCGATAGAGACAAGTCGGTTTTTCCTCAGGAGGAGGGCTGAGAGTTTTTTTCTTGTGAAAATTAATTATATGTCATAACCAATTAATTAATAATGCTTTGAAATCTGAAAAGGATAGCTCAAATTTAGGGCTGTCTGAGACCAGCAGCCGACATATGTGCTCTCTCTCATCTATATAAACAAACAGTTAGAGAGGCTTGAAGAATCATTAATTAAAGAAATGAAGAGTAGTGATGATCCAAGTGTGATTCCAGCAGTGACAGTGGTAGTGGAAGGGCGTTCAATATGCCAAAGGATAAGCCTTGAGAAGCATGGCAATTACAGAAGCCTTGCTAAAGCACTTAGGCAGATGTTTATAGATAGTGGTGACATTGAGTCGTGTTGTTCATCATCTCAAGATTTTGATCTTTCAAATGCTCTTCCTGGTCACCTTATTGCTTATCAAGACATGGAAAATGACCTCCTCCTTGTTGGTGATCTCAACTGGAAGTAAGTTATTCTATTTCCTATTTCTCATCTTTTTAATTTATATCACTATGAAAGATCGGAAGACCAAAAGACATTTTTGAAATGTTTCTTCCGAACTACGTGTCTTTCGTTACTATTGTAGATTTGAAAACTTCCAAACAGACATCAGACGATCCCCAAGCTACTGAAAAATTAAAGGTCTATGGGAAGTGGAAACGTTGAAGAATAATTGAATAAGGTTTAGCTTAAATATAATTGACCGCTGTATTTTTGCAAGTCTTTTCCTTTAAGACATCAAACTTTGATATTTCAGGAAGTCATAGATATGATTTTTTATTTTTTTTTAATTCTCCAAAGCTAACATTATCTTGATAAAACCAACCAAAGATGTAAGGTTTCTCTGATAAGAGAAAAGTGGTGAAGCATAGTCGAATAAGATTTGACTTGTCGTCTACTATGTCATGACACAGTCAGAGGTCAAGACAAGAGTATTTTAAATTCTCCGAAGCTAAGATTGTGTCGAAGAAAAACTTAATGGTATAACTTTCCTACCTCTAACTGATGCATATATTGAACTTCTGTTTCTATTCCAGAATGATTGTTTACTTTAATTTCCAGAAGCATTTTCCGGTATTGCTTTCACTATTCTGAAATGAGCATTCACAATTTATAAGAAGCTAATCATGTACTATTGATTTTCTCTTTAATGTTCAGAGATTTCGTGAAGGTGGCTAAAAGAATCCGCATTTTGCCAGTGAAGCCGACCTCACGGAAGGGAAAAATGGAGAATATTTAATCATTTTTTTTGTTTTCTTTTGCTTTTTCCTTCTTTCTTTATTTGAGTCATTATGTTTGGAATGCATCCCCAAAAAATGCATTTAACCAAAGATATTTGTAATTTCTTTAGTATTATGTTTGTAGTTTTTTTTCTTTGTAAGGAATGGTATGTCTCAACACTCCAATTTTCTCTTTTGTTCAATTGAACGTTTAGCTCAATAGAGGGAGGCAGATATTTATTTATTTATTTAGATATATAAAACGCCAGCTTCATATTTTTGGTTAATGATTTAGGAATATTCTTATAAGTTAGAGGACATTTAAGATTGCACTTTACTCCAAAATGGTTGTCTTCGCGCCAAGATCGTTCTTCTCTTTAATTTCCATATCTAGTACTTCACCTGGCCTAACTTTTGCCACGACATTAATTAATTGCTTAGCTCTATCATGATTCAAAATCTCACCAAGTCGTGATGGCACCTAACTAGCCAACCAATACGTAACACAGTTTAAGCATAAAACATTGAATAAATTTTGAAATAAAATTAAAATGCAGAAATTTAATACATGATTCCCAATAACTGGTACAAATCATGAGCGACTAAGAACAAAAATACAACTTTGGTTTGAGGAAAGATACGTCATCTGTTTGAAATTTTCATAAACAGAAATATAAGTCTTAAACTACCACGAACAAATGGTAGCTTGTATGTGGAACGTTGGTACGTCTTCAACGCTAGGCTTCGTCTCTCGTAGTGACTCAGCTTTAGAATCTGCACGCAAAGTGCAAAAGTGTAATATGAGTGCAAACGACTCCATGTACTCAATAAGCATCTTCACTAACCTCGGTGAAATAGTGACGAGGTTTTTAAGTCAAAGATACTCACTTAATTAACTTGTGCAGTTCATAAGTAAGAGCACATTACAAGGAGGAAGACAAGTAACAATGAAAGAGTTAAATAAAGAAGGGGCAGGCATGTTACACAACATAGCAACCTAACCATTATTAGTAAATCAAGTCCGCGACGAAGGAGCAGTATCTAGGAAACAATATAAGCCATGTATACAACCCGAAAAAATAAAAGTGTATGTTCATGATATCAAATCAAATGGCACGATAACACTCTTTGTGCTTTTATCTCATCATCAATAAATATATGTATATATGTATGTATGTATGTATGTCCAATCAAATGGCACAATAACACCCGTCGTACATTTATGTCATCCTTACCAAGTATATGTATAACAGTACCAACAAGGTAGAAGGCATACAACAAACAGAAACAACAAAGTAGAAGGTACAAAGATAACAGTAACAAATAAGATAGAAGCATATAGATAAAGGTAACAGTAATGGTAGAAGGCATAGATGCAATAATAACAAATAAGGTAGAAGAATATGGATATCAATAGCAAATAAGGTATAAGGTAGAAGGTATAGACGAAACAACAACAAAAGAGATAGAAGACATAGATATAAGAATAACAAACAAGAAAGGGAGCATGTATGTAACAATAATAAACAAATAGAAGGCATATATAGAACAACGGCAATAAAGTAAAAGGCATAGAGGTGTGTCACGACCCAAAGCCAACCGTCGTGATGGCGCATATCGTGGAACTAGGCAAGCCACTACTCAACCATTTCAACACAGTAAAAGCTTTAAAAAATATATACGGAAGCAATTAATATTTTAAGAAAAACCTTTTGAAAACAGAAATAAATCCGCAACTCAATACAAATCTCTCCCAAAATCAGGGTGTCACCGAGTACATGAGCATCTATAATAGGATAAAGTCTACTACAATGTCTAAGGAACAAGAACTGAAATACAATAAAGATAATGAAGGAGAGTCAAGGCCTGCAAACGCCATGCAGCTACCTCGATAGTCTCCAGAGATCCTGACTCCTCACTCAACAGCAGCCGTGACGAAAACCACCTGGATCTGCACACGAGGTGCAGGGTATAGCGTGAGTACTACTAACTCAATAAGTAACAAATCCAACCTTTGGACTGAAAGTACTGACGTACTCAAAAGGCACAGTTCAATACTGAAATAACGGTGCAGAAAAGTAGGCATGCTCTCAAGTTCAACAGATAACTCAAAACACTAAAATAGATCAAATCTGAATGAAATAAAGAATACAACTCCTCTACTTCTACATTCCAATGCACATGATGTATGTGATGCACCATGCTGACACCTCATGTGCTCACACTCTCAAATGCCCAATCACTCAGTATTGTATATGGCCCATACGGCCCAGGGAAGATCCATCCCGGAATATATACATAACTGACCATCGGTCACCTAGTACTAAGTAGGGCCAATCCAGCCCGTGGAGAAGATCCATCTCCACGTATATAATGCTTCGGACAAGATCCATGTCTAGGGAAGATACATCCCTCAATAATATCAACCGCGTTCATTGAGGGTGTGTATAGACTCCGAAGGGGCTCCTTCAGCCCAAGCGCTATCATAAATCAGTATAACTGTTGCGGCGTGCAGCCCGATCCCATAAATATCACTCATAATCAGGCTCTCGGCCTCACTCAGTCATCAATCTCTCCAGTCTCTCTCACCGGCTCACAAATGTCATAAAACTAGCCCGAACATGATGATATGATGTATCAATAAGTAACAACAAAGACTGAGATATGATATGAAATGAATGAATATGACTGAGTACGAAATATCAATGAAATCAGTAAGTCAACGGCAAGAAATGACCACTACGGGTCCCAACAGAACCAGCATATAGCCTAAACATGATCTCTAGCATGATTGACATCTCAATTACTTCATCACATGGTGAAAACACTGATATCAACAAGATATGACCACCATACGGTGCCATGGAATCGACCAGGTCACAATTCTTACGGTGGACACCCGCACGACCCTCACTTGGCATGTGCGTCACATTAATACCAATCACATAACACATAATTTAGGTTTTCGAACCCTCATAACCAAGTTTAGAAGGTTTACTTACCTCAATTCGAGCAAAACTCTATTCCAACACGCCTTTGCCTCGCAAATCGGCCTCCAAATGACCCGAATCTAGCCACAAGCAGTACAATACAATCAATACGGGCTAAAGGAATCGATTCTACAAGAAAGTACAAAATTATAGCTCAAAATCCGAAATTGACTCAAACCCGGCCCTCAGGCCCACATCTCGAAATCAGACAAAAATTACAATACCGGGTAGTTCATTCAACCACGAGTCTAACCATACCAAATTCATCAAAATCCGATACCAAATCGTCACTCTGATCCCCAAAATCAACTCTCCAAATTCCTAGCCTCAAACCCCCAAATTACACCTAAAAAACACACCAACTATGTGGGAAAATCAGTGAGGAAACATAGTTATTGAAGAAAAATGAACACAAGGAACTTACCTTAAGAATCCCCATGAAATTCCTCTCAAATATCCAAAACCGAGCTCAAAAATGTTAGAAATGGTGAAAATCCCGAAACCTCGTTTTTGAATCTTTTTATACTGCCCAGTGATGCCTTTATCGCGAACGCGACCTTCCCCTCGCATTTGCGTAGCACACTCTGACTGCCCCTCAAATTAACCCTTCGCGAACGCGTCGACTGACTCGCGAACGCAAAGCTTTGCTGACCTTACTCATCGCGAACGCGTAGACCAAAACTATTTGGTCCCCAGTTGCCTCCTCTCTTCTTCGCGAACGCGTTCCCCATTTCATGTTCGCGATGCATACACTGCCCAACCTTCAAGAATGCATCCTCTCCTTTGTAAACGTGAAGAACAAATTCTCCTCAGCCTCCAGGTGCACTTCGCGAAGGCGAGACCACTCACGCGAATGCGTAAGAGGAAACCAGAACAATTACACCAGCAATCTTCAGCCATCAAGCCAAGTCCAAAAATGATCCGTCAACCATCCGAAACTCACCCGAGGCCCCCGGGACCTCAACCAAACATATCAAAAAGTCCTAAACACGATATGAACTTAGTCGAGCCTTCAAATCACCTCAAACAACATCAAAAACACGAACCGTACCCCAATTCAAGCCTAATGAACTTTGAAATTTTCAAATTCTACAAACGACGTCGAATATATTAAATCACGTCCGATTGTCCTCAAATTTTGCAAACAAGTCACAAATGACACCACGAACCTACTCCAACTTCCGAAAATCTCATCCAACCCCGATATCAAAAAGTCCATTCCCGGTCAAACTTTTCAAAATTCCAACTTTTGCCATTTCAAGCCTAATTCTACTACAGACCTCCAAATCACAATCCGGGCACTCTCTTAAGTCCAAAATCACTAAATGGAGCTAACGGAACCATCGAAACTCGAATCCGGGGTCGTTTACCCTCACTGGACACCATGTGCCCCAAGAACGCCACTGAACTAAGCCAAAACGCACACTAGGAGAACTTGGTATAAAGCTTCTCCTCCCTCAACCGCTGTAACACAACCCTCAAATATTGGGCATGCTCCTTCTGGCTACGAGAGTACACCGGGATATCATCAATGAAAACAATAGCAAATGAGTCGAGATAAGGCTGAAACACACTGTTCATCAGATGCATGAACGATGCTGGGGTGTTGGTCAGCCCAAAAGACATCACAAGGAACTCATAATGACCGTAACGGGTCCTGAAAGTTGTCTTAAGAATATCCGAGTCCCGAATCTTCAACTGGTGATACCCAAACCTCAAATCAATCTTGGAGAAACACCCTCTCTCCCTGAAGCTAGTCAAACAGATTATCAATACGCGACAAAGGATACTTGTTCTTGATAGTGACTTTGTTCAACTGCCTGTAATCAATGCACATTCTCATAGTATCATCCTTCTTCTTCACAAACAGAATTGGTGCACCTCAAGGTGACACACTAGGCCGAAAAAACCCCTAATCAAGAAGTTCTTGAAGCTGCTCCTTCAACTTCTTCAACTCAGCCGGTGCCATACGATACGGAGGGATAGAAATGGGCTGAGTGTCTGGCACCAAGTCAATATCCCTTTCGGGAAGCATGCTTGGCAGGTCTGCAGGAAACACATCTAGAAAATCTCGCACCGCCAGAACAGAATCAATAGTAAAGGTATCAGCACCAACATCCCTCACAAAGGCCAAATAAGATAAACAACCCTTCCCAACCATCTTTTGGGCCTTCAAGTATGAAATCACTCTACCGGAACATAGTCTAGAGAACCCCTCCATTCAATCCGTGGCAACCCCGGCATCGCCAACGTCACGATCTTAGCATGACAATCTAAAATAGCATGACAAGGAGACA